GTCCTCAACATCTACTGCAATCGCTACCCAGTCTAGATCAGTCGATTCTCGATTAATTGACAGTCTATCAAATATATCTTCGAACCTCTTCGTTTCTGTCTTTTGAATTCACTTGGTGGGTATGATTCATAATAGAAGGTGTTACTGGTTAAGGCGTTGTCAAACTCTAAATACCTATGGCATCTTTCGACTTATGATCTCAACCACTGGAATGAATATTATATGTAATGTTCAAATTTGTTGTTAAATAACAAAGATCAGTTCAGTGAAGAGTTCTCTTTTCGGCAAATTCATCTTCAAAGGTGTACATTCGCAAATATATATACTTTTAGGAATGTGATTGATCAGTCACATATTGGCATATGTGCATACTGTGCGTATTACCTTAATATAGCCTTTATTTACAAGCACTATGTGCAATGATGAATTGCGGCTAGCAGTGGAATTGAGGACCCATGAGTCCCACAATGAACACCAACTCTGGGATACAGGTACATCCAGCTGACGCGTCTCAAATAGGACGAAACGCGCGTCCTGTATTCCACTGCTAGCCACTATCTATCTTTGTATATATAATGGCTGAAATATTCATCAAAATATAGATAGGGAAATTATCATTGGGAAAGGATGGCTCAGCATGATAAGATAAAATGTTGGAAATAGAGATGAAATGTAATCGGAATGATCGTCGAAATAAAAACAAACCAGTTGGGGGTAGAAGATTTAAGGGGAAGATGGATGGTGAAGTAGATGGTTGTAAAGGAACAAGAAAAAAATTTTTAATACATTAAGACCATTGTAGAAGAATGGGTTGTAACAGTCTCTTTTGCACACACAATTCTGGTTTTTCCAGATGTATGGTTAATGCTTCGGCAATGCCAAGAAGATGCAGTCTAATCACCTTAGGAAGACTTCTTCATACCTTGTAGATGAATTTGAACGCAGAGTTTGTCTTGATTGAGTGACCTGTGTTCACAAGGTGTTCAATTATAGAACTTCTTATTGAGCCGTTTCCTCCCCTTCTTAGCCAAGCCGGATAATTTTCTTGAATTGGTCAGATGCGATAACTTATCTTTAAGATTATTAGTGAACAATGATCCGCTGGAGAATACTATTCGCAATGTTGCTGCGAAGAATGTTCATTTTAAGGAATCCAAAATTCTCCTCTTTAAGATGATTTGTGGCTCTATCACCTTTGAAGTTGATGTTCATGTATAGAGTTTTTTTTGTACCGTAATTATTCACGTTTTTGACCTCATGTACTTATCAATGAATATCGAAGAATATCCGTTTTCCATAAGTATCTCCTTTAAAAGGACCAAGTCTTCGAGGCTACAAAGTCTTTGTATTCTTGTAGCGAGTGTTATTATTAAGTCTCTTTTTCGGCTGATGGGGACCCAACTGTGGAAACTTGATAGTTGACCATTCCACATAGGTTTCCTGTAGATAGATCGTCTTAGAGTTCCATCTTGTTTTCTTGTCATTTCCATCTCATCAATGTGAATATTTTGTTCGTTTTCAACTTGAAGTTTGAATTTTATTGCTGGGTGACAATTATTCAATGTCTTTACAAGATGACTTATGTCACATTTGTTATCACAAATGATAAAGATATCATCTACATACCTTTTGTACAAATGGAACTTTCCTATTATCGTTTTAAGTTGATGGTTTTCTAAACTGACCATGAAGCAATGGATCAAGTGGAGATCCCATTGCTATGCCATCCTTCTGTCTATGAATTATGTCGTTGAATATGAACTGTATATTGCAAGTGCAATGTAGTAGTAGTAGTAGTAGTAGTAGTAGTAGTTCCTTTAAATAAGTTTTCGATACTCTATAAGTGGGATATTAGTGAATAATGATTCGACATCCAGAGATAGTATAATTTTATCATTTACATTCACTTCTTTTATGTGCTCAATAAATTCAAAATAACCATGTAACGAAGGTCTACGAATGAGTTTTCTGACGAGTTCTAGTAGATCTACCAGTCAATTTGCTATAGAGTGGTAAGGGGATCCAGATATATCAAGAATTGGTCTAAGAGGTAAGTCAGGTTTGTGTATTTTTGGCAGACTGTACATGATAAGTGAAAAGTACAAGTTGATAGTATGATGACAAGTGTACTAGTTTTGATAAGCAATAATAAAGGCATAAACCATCAATGTTACATAATTGGGAATAGGTCAATGATCATTAGAAACAATATAGACATTTATAGAAAGATTATAAGAATACGTAATAAGAGGTGTTCAGACAATTGGTACCGTGAAGTGAACCGTGAGAAAAGAAAAGGGTTGGAGGGTGTGAAGAAGAAGGAGAAACGAATAAGGAGTATGAAAAACTATAGTAAATAGAATCATTTATTAAAGCCAAGGGAGAGATAAGCGTGTTACAAATTTCTTAAGAACACAAAGACTTAGATTGCTGGCTCGAGTTCCTAGTAGAGTAGATTTGAAACGTTAGAATTCTTGATCAGAGATCGAACTAAGATTATTTGTTTGTTTAATCACACAATATAGTTTTATACTGCATACTTCATATTTAAATTCTAACTTACCTCCTGACAAACTGATACTATCCCTAAATCTTATAATCCCACAATATGTCTTAACCTGAAGGTAATGTGTTCTGTGAACGAACTGATGACATAACACCTCTTGCATTTTTGTGTTGAATTCATTCCTTCATTCATTTGACTAAACAACATTTTCATATGATAGATAGTTTCATTTCATAATGCAAACCGTAAACCGAAATCTTTGATCTTTAACTTAAACACTTAACTTTAACCAAAAACAATATGTGCATTAGGGGAAAGTTATTAAGGTCCTTTTAATAGTTGAAGAAAATCTATATGCAAAAGGACAAGTATTTATATCGCTGTTTTTCAATTCAATAGAACATTAACCCATGAAAGGCTATAAGAGATTCAATAATTATGTTAAATCTATCTAAACATTGTAGTACTATTATTTTCCCTTCTATTAACGATCCATTTGTAAGAGATACTTTCTGATTGGCTACAAACTAGGTGAGGTTAGATGGTGGTTGGAGGTAGTCAACAAGAAACCCTGGACTCGGGTTTCGTGCTACTTGGCACTCGTCAGCAATGGAACTGGTGTTCCCTGAAGGATTCGATCCCGTAGCACCCAGCTTCACAGTCAGAAACGTTACCACTGAGCTATCCAGGCCGGGACCGACCTCCGGGTCCAGAATTTCTTGTCAACTACCTCCAACCACCATCTAATCTCACAATAGTACACGTAGTGTCGAGTCACCTAGACTGGTGGCCACATTACAACATGGTCGATAGCATTTGATCTGCACTAATAATAAGAACTAGTCACGCATGACATTGGTCACCACCCAGTGATCAATCACTTGTGACCAACTAAGTGAAAATTGGTTATTCTGAGCTTGTCCCTATACTACACCCACCACTTTTATTCAAAGATCCTCGTCCTAAATTTAATCTTCTTATTCAACGGAATGATGTTAAAATGATCCTAATTAGCAATGAACACACAGATCACCAATATCAAAGATCTAGATCAAGTCATATGATTTCGATGTAGTTGATTGTTTCTTGTGACTTATGAGTTTTATGGTCAAGTTCTAAGATTTTCAAATAGGCTTTTCTACCAGTAAAATGATCAAAATATATTTAAGTGCTTTATATAAAGATAATTATTAATATAAATGTACTAACATGAACATTAGAACGGAAATGGTGTGACCAACAGCTAACGTCGAAATCACATTATGCGGTCAGCATCTAACATGGATTACTCCTTCATAGTATCAAGGTACTATGGATGCTTTAAAAACTGTACAACACAAAGGATATTATTACGGAAATATATTAGTAAGAATGAGTACAGAGAATATAATGAGATCACCACCTCATGGGCCAGTCCATGGCATACATTTAACTGATGTACGTTGATTTTCCCCGACTTTGTTAGGGATCGATGATCTGTTCTATATTCAGTGACCTAACTGCTAGATGATTTGATTCATTGACATTTCACTGGTTCTACATAGTGATGAAATTTCAGTGAACGCGGCCATGTGTGTTCATGGTTATTTTGAATAATTATTAAAACTGAAGTACTATAGGGAAACAAAGAAAGTATTAATTTGAAGATGTATTGTAGACGAGCTTCGATTAGTATGCACCCTCAGTTATAACAGGATTGAAACTATATTCTTACAATGGTACTTATATTCACTAGTTAATCATTGAATAGCAGCCAACGTTAGATCCTATCACTGGTTAAACTTTATCTATTAAAGTGTTATTTATACTCAAAAGTCTAACATAAGGAACAATAAATACTCTATCAGATGATCCATAGTCATTGACTTCGTACCATATGTTTCTGAATAAATTCCTATAAATATCATGAAAACAAGAACAAATAATCATAAACTTTTTAAACAAAGATGGATATTGTCTAACAGTGGAGTCCAGGACGCGCGTTTCATCTCATCTGGGACTCATTAGCAGGATGTACCTGCATCGTAGAGTTGATGTTCAGTTTGGGACTCGAACCCAATACCATTCGCTTCAAAAAGCCAGTAACTAAGTGGATAACGCAATCGCATTAGAAGCGAACGATCCTAGGTTCGAGTCCCTGAGTGGACATCAACTCTACAATGCAAGTACATCTAGCTGACAAGTCACAAATAAGACGAAATCTCGCGCGTCAAACTGGATTCCACTGCTAGCCACTTTTCATTTTCGCTTCAAAAAAATCTTATAACTTAAGGCTATATCAAGGTAATCTGCACAGGATGCACATATACCAACATTAAACTAATCAACTACAGTCCTAAATAACAATGGGAAGATACAAGTAAAAAAAAACAACATCAAGAACGAATAATGATGATGGTGATGATAATTTTATTAAACAGTTTACAGAGAGAAAAAAAATCGATAAATTTTGATTATCAATAATAGTTTTTTTTTGTTTTTTTTGTTTTTTTTTGGTATCTATTCATCTATTACATCATCACGATCACGATCACGATCATCATCATCATCATCAACTATCTAAATTGTAATCTAATTCACTATAATAAATTTCATCTTCATAATCAAGACAAAAATAAGATGGAATTAATTCTAATTGTTCTAATCCATTTGTAATATGATCTAACAATGATGGTATAGGATCAATGTTATGTAATACATTTTCATTTGATTGATATTTCATATTATATGGTTTACTATACATGGAACCATTCCGCTGAAACTCAATAGATCATAAATAATAAGTATAAAGTACATGTTCAATTAAAAGAAAAAGTACTTATTCAATTCAGTCCCATGGTAGCTGGTGACTAACGATTGGTTCATACGCCATTTGTTCCGTCAGGATATTGGAGCCCATGTGCACCATTGGTTTGGGTTCCGGTTAAAGCGCCGGACATTCGCTTTTCGTCCTCTCATTTTTGTAAACAACACCTGTGTCACGAGAATGCAGTGAGTAGGACTTCCCTGGCAGAGGCTATATACGCATGGCCAAGTGAGAGCATTTCGAGAGGGAGAGCGGACTCTTCCCGCTCTCGGCCGTACCAGGGCGTTTGGGGGCACAAAATGTTTTACGCAAATATATTATCACATTCGTTCTGATAAACTTGATCTTCTCATTACATGATCGACAATTTATCAAAGGGACTAATTATTTTAAAGTAACAAATTTGTTCTTCATGGAATGTAATAAATATCTAGTAAATTGAACAAACTACATGTTTTGGAATCAATTTTCCCAACGAAGCAACCTAACCGGATATAGTGAGCTTTTGTGTTTAGATAATGCGCTTAGGAATACAACACAAGAGATCTGATTATAATACAACAATAAACTTAAGTTAGTTATAAGTGTTGATGATCAATTTGTGAATTCTATTATAAAGTCATCTTTGATAACTATTCAAGCCACTGTGTTGCACTATCATTAGAACCTCAATCAGGGATTTATGAAATGCCAGTAAATTTCAGTTTTGTACAACTTACTTTCATACCGTAACACGATCCCATACACTAAACATCTCTCTACTATCTCTAACTAGTCCAGCGTTGTAAAATAATGCATGATTTGAAATTGGCTGGGATAATATTCAAAAGATATGCTTAAGTCATCAAATTTGGTGTTCCAATCAAATTTTTGTCGCTGTACCCGAACACGTTTTGCTGAACTTTTTCATTACAGTTATGGTACTGTCACTGAATGTCAGACGTCCGTCGGAAAAAAACAATGATTAAATACAGAGAGTCGTTTAACATCTTCAGCTCAGAGAGGAGAGGTTTCATATACATGGAGCAAACACTACTTCTCTCCGACACATCATAAATCTTAACTTTCACATTTAGAGTAACATCACGAAGGTATCAAAGATGGACCATATTAGCATAAGCCGTAAGACATTATTTTTCACACCAATTCCTTCTCGTTTCGATGAAGTTTTCTTATCTAACAGCACATAATCGGCTGTTAATGTAGATTTAATCGATTAGTGATGCCTCAACTTTGGTGCGCAGTGCGAGACCAACGCCAGCAGAATTAGACGGCTAACAAATGCCCTGGTACTTAATTAAGTTATAATCAATGTATGGTGAATATGGAATTTGTTGCATACATATGCAGAGACAGAATGGTGAGTTAAATCGCAAAAAAAATATAGGTGTGGTAATGTAGAGATGAATAGGATATGTAGATGAAGTTTATAGGAAGATTTTCATAATACGGAAGACTACTCAGGATACTACCCCTAACTCAGGGTCTGAAAAGTCGGAAAAATGAAAATCTCACGAATGCGATAAAAATGATCTTGGTGGTGTTGTAATAGTATTCCGACAACAGACAATGGGTTTTAAGCGTTCTTCAAGCCCCAACGCTTCAGGCTGGGCTATTTCGCTTACTACCCTACATATGCTTTGTATACTGTATAAGCTGTACGGCTATGTAGAATTGAAGACTTCATATGAGACCGGAGGTTCACCATTTATATTGTGGATGGTTCAGCAATGCTTCGGCAAGTTTTGCTAACTGTTCATGAACAAAATTGGTTTGCTGGTTAACCGATTTCATTCATACTGATGGTTGCTTTTCAGTGTTCTCGAGGGCCATTGTCAGGCATGTCGTGATTGCTAACATTAATGAGTTTGACTGTCGTGTAAGCGGAATGGGTAAACTTTGGCCTGTTCTTCCTGTGCACAATTGATTCACGCGATCATTGATCGGAACAACTATACATGTGATGTGAATGTGTATATGAATGGTGCGAATGGTCCACCAGGGTGGTTGGTACTTGTGTGGTTGCGCCACAGGATTGAGCTGCACTATTCAAATTGTAGAATTAAAACCTATACGGTGTCTGGTTCTCCTGTGAATTGGGGTTGAGCTGTACTGTTTGGGTTGTCACATGAAAGTCTGGATGGTGTCTGGTTCTCCTGTAAACCAATGTAAACTTACCCTGGCCCACAAGGGTATATTATATATAACTCGATTATTGGGTCTGAAGTGAACCAATGCAAAAACATAAACTAAATTTGATTATTTTGGATTTCTTTATAATTGTGAATAACGTATCGAACGCTCAATAACAATAATTATTATATTTCATAGTCCTGGTTCCAACATCTCATCCGGTTAGTAGTTCCGTTGTCTCATACCATCGGCATTTATTCCAAATATTATCCTTATTTAATTTAATGTTCATCTTGTTATGCTAATGAGGTGTGGCAACTTGGAACGATGCATATATGTGCTTGGTCCTACGTTGTAACTGACTGGCTGACTGACTGACTGACTGAATACACAAATATACTCTACATTCTACTTATTCTAACGTTTACAAATGTTAACAAGTGAATCTTATAAGTACTCCTTAAATGTGACTATCCTCATTAAGGATTGACATTCAAAATTGCAAAGTTTCCACCCCCCGTCGGCTTTTTTGATGTATTCTTCTTTGTTCATAATTACAGTAGTGCATCCTTTATCCGCTGGAACTATGACAATATCCTTTCTAGTTCTAAGTTCCTTCAAAGCTTTTTGTTCTTGTGAGATCAATTGATTGTTTTCCTTCACCTGTTAAGTTAATGGTACTATAGTTTGCTTCAAAAGAACTATCCTCTTTCCAGAACCTTGTCTTCAATTAATTAAGTCAATGTTATGTAAAAATATAATCAAACCGTAAAATATCTTACCATTGAATTATTATTTGCAAATTGTCGGTTACATTCTCGTTGAGTATCATGTTTATTGATTTCTTTAATTGGTAACATTGTAAACATCTTAAGAGAAAAGATAAACAAATCTAAACAAAATGATACATATATCATAATACTAAATTGATTCACAATGGATTGATAACTGGGTAGTGATGATCAATATCATGTGTATCTAGTCCTTATTATTAGTGCAGATCAAATGCTATCAACCAAGTTACATTGTGGCCAATAGTCTAGGTGACTTGACACCTATGTACAGTATTACATCATATCCATTGGATAAACTGATGGATGTATGAATTCAATAATTTAAAGGATAACTCGTCAATATTTGAGATGATTGATAATGATTCATGAATATCATCCTCTTACAAATGATCAGTCTCAAATAGGAATCAATGAGCATCATAACTTATATGTATCATCATCATTATCATCAATCGAAATGATAAACGGTAAAAACGATTGTACGAAGTGATCCAAAAGAGATGAAATGTAACGTTAGTGTTATAAACTCAGGAAAGTATATTCGAAGTTTATCTTAACGAGATTCTTTATTCAATCTAAATATTGATAAGATCTGGCAAATGAAAATAATTCCACTTAAGCAATATATCCCAAGTTGTCAATTTTGGGGGAAAATTTGACCCATTTTGGGGAAGCCGTTATAGTAAACATAGGGGAAATTTTAAGGTTTTCGTGTCATTTCCCCAGACCTGGGGAAATTCCCCAATATTTCCCCGAAATTCCTCGGGATTGTTTATACACTGTGAATATTAACTTTTTTCCCTAAAAGTATAGTTCCCTTTTCAAAAAGGATGAGCGACCCCTTGAGAATGTTCACCTATTTACTGGGAGGGGGGTAAATGTGAGTTATAATCATGTATGAAGAATAAGGTTTATGATTTCTAGTTGATAGTTAGAGTTAAGAATTAGATTTATGGGGTGGGTAGGTGGATGATCATCACGAACTATCATTAACTTAAATGTCAAAACGTTTATTAACCGAATAGATGAATGAATTATAGTTTAGCTTTAAAAAGTTTACTCAGTAACTGGTCAATCATTTACTCAACAATATTTATGATTATTACCATATTTCTAAAGTTAATCAACTGAATGTAATGAGTTCCAAACCGAGAATCCTTTATTACTTTTATGAATATGACGGGGTTTCATTTTAGAGAGCAACTAATATCTGTACAAAACATCATATAAGAATTAGGACTTATCATTAACAAACTAGACAGTTAATGTATTTAATATGACGCGTTGCTTTGATTCCAATTTAGATGAATGTATGAATATGCTATGAACATAAATTTGGCATTTATTTATGTATATTACATAGTCTAATGCTTAGATGGTGGTTGGAAGTAGTCGACAGGAAACCCTGGACACGGGTTTCGTTCTACTTGGCACTCGTCAACAACGTGTACTTGTAATCTTTGAGGGATCTGGTGCTCCTCGAAGGATTCGATCCCGTATCATCCAGCTTCACATTGAGAGACGCTACCATTGAGCTATCCGGTCCGCGATCGACCTCCTGTAGCACTGAGATGTAATCACATTTGAGTGATCACTAGGTGGTAATCAATGTCATTCGTGTCTAGTCCTTATTAGTAGTGCAGATTAGTTAGTTCAAACAAACATTAAGAATAAGAAGCGGGAAAGTGAAGCAAAGTGGAGAGGAGAAGCTGAGTGAGACAAATCGATTTAATTAAGTATTTTGACAATACTTATAGTCAGATAAAAAATAACCTAAAGACACGTAATCAATAGAGTAAGCAATTAACACACATACACACGCTCATATAAAAATAGTCAAGGAACTATTCCTTAGACTTACAGAAGTACAGATCACCAGTGCAACTCAACGAAATTAAATTCCTTTCCTCATGCCAATTCATAACACCAATTGTGTTGGCTCAACTTCCCTGAATAACCAATCAGAATATTACACTACCAATAATAGTTCACTTTCAAACCGTTATTCACCTGACAATATGAATTATTCTGATTGGCTTCACGATGAGAAGGTCATTCGTGAGATACTTGAGCTGAGAAACATTAATTATAGTAGGTGATAATCGAATAGTTACTTGGTGGTGGATAAACAGTTCAAAGTGTAGTATATGAATGAGCTATTTATTGATTGATGAACAGAATTACTAAAACCTGATCGGGGTTTTTTTTTTTAGTCTTCTAAGACTTACTATCGGTTTTCTTATCTCTACAAAACTTCATTTATTATATGAGTGTAAATATATTCACAATGAACAGTTCGTTTCTAGATCATTGCCATATCTATAAAGTATGTTAACAGTAATATTGTCACCGGCTACAATATCTTAACCAGTAAGTTTACTGAACAGTTGGGGATATGGAACTGTAAAGCAAGATCTTTGTCCTCATCTCCATATGAAAAGTTACAAGTGTAAATCTTTATATATTGTAGATCACCAGTGTAGATGATCTATGTCGAATGGTTGGAGACCAACTCGAGTTAGACAAGAATGGTGTGACAAACCAGTTAGCGTTGAAGTCATACCTCATGGTCAGCATCTTACGTAGACTACCTCATTGACGTATTAAGATACTATAGATGCTTTGAAGACTGTACAATACAAACGATGTTATTACAGAAATATATTAGTTAAAGTCGATACAAGCGAAAGTAATTCCATCACCGCATGAACCAGTCCATGATGTATGATTAACTGATACGCGTTGGTTGTCTTTGATCTTGACGAGGATCGATGATTTGTTTAATATTCAATGACCCAAATGCCGAATGATTTGGTTAAGGTTCATTGAAACTTCACTGACCCTACAATATATTTAACATTTACAGGCTCATCTATTATTCATTGAATTCCTAAAGAAGTAATTTTATTGAAAGTTTATCAAAGACAGTGTAAATTGTAAAGAAAATAAGGAAAAAGATGAAGTTCATTGAAGGGATCTCTTATCAATGAATGAATTATTAACCTGTACAATCGTATATATATATATAGTTGAATGAAATATCCTCTTCTCACACTACTTATGTACACGTACACACACACACACACAATCTGTTATCTTAGCACACTTTTCGTTTCATATCACATATCTCTTACACACTGATGTAAATATCTACTTTAAACATTGTTAACCTCATCTATTGTGTCAATGGAACATATTCACTTGATCCTTGATAATAAAGAGTGAATGAACTTTCTCTTTCTACTCAGTAGGATCCAGCTATGGAAATTCGTGTACTGCTTATTCCATGTAGATTTTCTAATAGATTTTATAATCAGTAAGTATACTGAGATTGACGTAAAACACTTAGATTCATGTTTTACATTAAAAATAGTTAATTCTCAGGTAGTGAATGAATATATGCCTCATTTAATTGATTCCCTTGATGAATACTGTGAATTCGATTAGATAGAACGTTCATAGAGCAACCAATATTCCTGACTGCACAGATTAATATCAAATAATTTACGTTCCTGGAACAGAAACTATTTTAATGTTATAAATTATAAACTAAATTTGATCGAACAGCTATTGAAAATCAAAAATTACTGAACTACTCTTTTGTCCTAGTTTGCGACTCCTCAACATCTAGCAATCGTGACTTTACCAAAAGTCGAGCTCTTGGCCTTGAGGTTTCACAGCGACCTACATACTTATTAACATTACATATTAGTCAAAAGGTGTATGGTTAAAACGCCTGTCAGTAGGGTTAGCACTTTATGCTCAAATGATAAAATAAGTGAGGTATCAGTTTTTCTGGAAAAGCATCTCAAAATAAAAAGGATACTCCAGGAAATTTATTACGAAATACGGAAGGGAATATCCCAAGAATGCTAAAAACCAACTGTTGGAAAGAAACCTGTCTTTGTTCACTTGTCGTTCAGGGGAGACGAGATTTCAGGAAAATCTATTGGACAGTTAAGGTGGCACTGAACAGAAGCTTCTTTGGTGCTCTATTAGTTACACTATTTAACACCGAGTGTTCTTTATAATATTCAAATGTAGATCAATACCCTTCAGACTCCACCTCCAATTGCATTTAAAGATTTACATGTACCTGAGGTAGTAAGTACATAGTAAGCACAGAGAGAAGGGCTTCTACAAGGTTTTCTGAACACACTTCTAGAAATTTAAAGCAATTAGTCCCTTTGTAAAATTTCGATAGTTCAATAAGAAGACGAAGATTATCAGAACTATGTGATATGTTAGCGCAATACATTTCGAGCAGTCTGGTCACACTTATACTTGTCAACTAGACTAGAAATGGAAGGTAAGAAGAGACCAGGATAATAAAGAAAATAATGCGCAAACAATTGGAAACCTCATCACTCTAGCTAATAAGCTAACATTACCAGGGTAGGTTTAAGGTCACTCCACCTGTAGCTCTTCTAGTGCCAATGCCGGTCCCAAGCCCGTGTAAAGTAGGAGGGTTGAGCATAGGGTCGGGAACCTCATCCCATAAAAAAGTCCTGCTAAAAAACGCTAACCAGATTGATCAAATAAAACTATTTAAACTCTGCCCTGTGAGTTGAAGGACGACTTATGACGCCTTAAGATGAAAGCCGAGATTTGTCGGAAGTCACGAAGCCGATGCCCACACTAACAATCAAAGCAACGATTTTTATCACTACACGGAATATCCTGACAATGTGGGAGACTGGGAGGACCAATCAAAAAGCAATAGAAATTAGGAGAGACAACTTGGCGGTTTTCGTAATAGGTGAAACCAGTTGGACCAAAGCTGGACAGCAAAGCCTGGATACAGGAAAGATGCCTCTGTACTTCGGTGACGAAGGGGAAAATTCTTCACACACTCAGGGAGTTGTTCTGATTCTGCACAAAGAAGCACGTAATGCACTTATGGGATGAGGATCTCACGGATCCAGATTCATCAAAGCATCCTTCAAAACAAAGAAGGAGGGAATCACGATTAACGTTATATAAATGTTATGCACTTACCAATGATTGCAACGACGACAATCAATCATAGCGAAGCGTCCAAGAAAGGATCTCACCATCCTGATAGTAGACCTAAACACCAAAGTCGGAATGAACAAAACCGGATATGAAGACATCATGGGACGACATGGACTGGACTGACTGAGAGAAAGGAGTCGGAATGTTGAGAGATTTGCAAATCTATGCGAATTCAACAAACGTATATAAAAAGCTGCAAGGATCTCACCGGATCACACTACACAGAACCAGATTCACCATATTTGAATCACTAGATATTCACAAGGTCAATGGAAGACGTGAGAACCAAGAGATAAGCTGACATATTATCAGATCATCACCTAGTTGTGACCAAGATGAAACGGAAGCTAAAGAAACACTTGAAGACTGGAGAAGAACAGTTGCAAAGGTTCAGTAGAGCCTGTAGTGTCAGTTACTATGTTAAACCTATATGCCTTATTCTGGCTTTTGGACAGCCCAATCTATTCATTCTACTTGAGTCACATTCTGACCTTGTTAATTATTCGCTTAACAAACTTGACTATTTTTATATCAGCGCATATGTGTGTACACTTCTGATCCCATTACTCATCAGAAACTCCGATCCATAATACTGAAATTTTTTGAATTTTAGTTTACTTATATCAAAAGTGCTTCTAGTAATTACCTATATCCCGAGCTCCCAAATTTGAGGGAAATTTGACGCTGTTTGGGGAAGCCGATATAGTAAACTTTGAGGAAATGGCTCAAAAACCCCGAAATTTCCCCAGACCTAGAGAAATTTCCCAATATTTTCCCTTCAACCTTGGTGAAGGTCATTTGACTTCGAGAGTTTCTCCAAAATACCTCAAAATCGGTAGCTCGGGATGTTAACAAAACCACAGTGAAAACATAAAGCAACATCAGTGATGGAAAAAATAGATTTTATGAATGAAAATTATGATATTGAAATCTTTTAATAACAAAGTTTTAATCTCGAGTTGTCAATGAACAGACAATATCTAACGATTAAGTGAATATCGGAAAATAAAGTCCGAAATATTTGAATCGACATTATATTCATTCCAACATTCTCTCAAAAGTTCTTCATTTTGTGGAATATTTTCTGCAATCTTGCATCTACTTCTAAGTACATCCAATAAATGACTCCCACTTGGCATATACAACTCTGTATAAATCGTCTCTAGTATCTTCTTCCAATTCTTACTGTAGTCAACATAACGTTGTTCTTGAGTTCTACCATTCATCTTCAACTGTGGATAAGCAAACAGTTGACTATTCGGCTCAAAAACACTCAGATAGGTGACCAATCGACCAAATATACTACTCAACTTGTAACCGACTGACGGTCGAGATGAATTCGTCAAATATTCACAGCCAGTGTGATAATAAAATGGATCACTGGATATGCGACGGTACAGCCTCCGCAACTCAATCAATTCATTCAAATCTTCGAAAAACACTATACACACTGATCTCACCATTCGACTAGCAATCTTATGTGCGATTCGTGTACGGGCACATCCAGCTGGCAAGTCCTCGAAACACTGACTGATATCTAGTTTCAGAGGACGCACCAAACCAACGTTATTTATAGGTCTGATTGGATGTTCCAAATTACGATGCTTCGTCGCCATGTGAAACACATGCAGTTTCGAGACCCAACTACCAGTGATACGCATTGCTTCAATTTTGTCTTGTTCGTCTGTTAATCCATACTTATCCATTAGATCGCTTCTCAGTATCGCACTTGCATAACTGTCTCCCAACAACCTACACGGAACGTGTGAGCCCTCTTGGAACTCATTAACAACAGCAGCAATCATCACTTGAACACATGCATCTGTCATTTCAACATCGATCACATCCATCATTTCACAACTACTGGCCACATTGTCAACAGTCCAACGGCCATAGTACCAGGCACCATCTTGACGATTCTTTACTACTCTTTCAGGTGTGGAGACATGTTCGACAGGTGATTCTCCGTCAGAAGCAGATCGTTCATTTGAATCTGACGACTCGGGCACTTCTGCAAGTAGTCCAGCGAGAATCACAGCACTGGCAGCATTCGCCAGCCATTTTCGAAGGGGTTTGGAAACCGATTCACCAACATTTTTGTAGACGTGTGCAGACGCCGTTGCGGCGAACTTCACCCAGGCATTCTCAACAGGTACGGAATCGTCTGCGTTCGACTCAGGCATTATATTCTTGTCAAGCATCAGCATGAATCGAGTGAAAGGGAACTCCAAGCTGAAATTGCCAACTTTACGTCGTAAACGACCAGACGGAATGTATCCTAAATCATTAACCGAATTCGTTAGTGAGTTCTTCAAATCCTCAGTCTTCTCAACCATGTTCTACAAAGGAAGTTTAAAATTAAGACTATAAGGGTGTGTATATTTCTATATTCAGATTGATAAGAAGGTTTGTGATAACGCATGATGATTTGCTACAAGATATTAAAGAATCGTGACTACGTAAAGTTCATAAATTTCTGATCGAAATAACGGTTTGGTTAAAGTAAGTTAAGAATTTTTGTTTAGTGGATTATTTTCTAGTCTTCATCACTACATTCATCTTCAAAGGAGGAACACATGTACATGTGGAACTGTTATGTTCCTTATAACCTGAGTACCAAATCTAGCATGAGAATTTCATTTAAGATGCAGGCATATGTTGTGATTACCACTGCATATCAAATATTAAGACGAAAACACGATTGACGAGAATCGTTCTATTTTCACTCTTCAGATCATCACTGTATTCAGTCGTCACTAAATGACTGTAAACAATTGGGATTGATCCTATGCAGATATGTGACATTTTACGGTAGAATCAGTCGTAGCTAAAGTCGCAAAAAATAAGTAATTCAGTAAAGAAATACTTCACAACAAACTCATTTTTAAAACTCGACAATACCGTTTGTGTATAATGAACCACAAATTTTTCAGTTTATACATTATTTTTGCTAAAGCTTATGACTAGATGACATCGTCGTACCATTCCATACACGACGTACATGTCTACAGACACTAACTGGTAACTAATAACAACAGGAAACCATGAGTCATCATATTATCACACTTTAAATAGCATAAAATAGGAAACATGCTTTTCACTAGATATCCAAATCGAAATTTGTAGGTGCTTCAAAATATTAGCCCGAGTGGAGGTCATAAATTGGTCACACGGTTCTAGTTAGATAGTTAGACAAGGTAATTTATAACAAGGCTCGTCTATAAGAAATGGGTCGATATTGTAAAAACTGAGTTAGCGACAATATCACTAACGGAAAATAGTAAAAGAAATGGTATTTACTGGAAATCACCAAGCCATAACATAAGAACAAATCTAACGGCAGGAGAATGAGAAAATGAAAAAGGAGAGTTTCGGCACATTTCCCCGTTGTTGCTTTTTTATTTTTAAACGGAATATCTCATTTATTTCTTCTTTGTTGATTGCTTAGGGCGTTGTACATAATTCTACATGAACCACAACAGACATGCCGTTTCCCCATAAACAAGTCATTGTAGTGTTGTGGATCTGCGAAGGAAGTTATTATACATCTAACAATAGGCGAAACAAATAACAATATTTCACGACAAATACTAACATGAACCAAAACGGCGACAAAACTATGCAATACCGACGACCTTCCACCAAAGATGAATGGCCTTAAGATTGGTTGATGTGAATGCAACTCTTCTAAATTTCAGAATTGTGAAGTAAAAAAACGAAAGGCCTACTGTCCATGTTATTCTTTTTCTTATCATAGGTATTCCGGGTTTTTCAACGACTTAACCAGTAACATTTATTATGTATCATATCCACCAAGTAAAGTCAAAAGAAAGAAGCGAGGAGGTTCGAAGATATATTTAATTAGCTACCAACATATCGAGGACCTTCTGATCTAGTCTGGCTAGTGATTGCAGTAGATGTTGAGCACGGCGTTCCAACTCATGATCTGGTGTGGATGCATGACAGAGCGCCTTCAGTTAAATGAGTATATTGAAATGAAAATCCAGAGCATGGGTTTGCGTTAACTCAAGTTATGATTGATGTACCGATTGCCATATATGGCATATATGCCATATATGTCGTGTCGGTCGATTTTGAGTTGGGAAAATTGCAGGGCTTTCTGCAATTTCTGGAGGACCTTCCATACTGGTTGTCATATCAGCACCAGTTGGAATTATCCTTGATCTAAAGACAGATCGCCTACGTGAAGTGCTTCTTCGAGGAGTATGTGACCGTTTACGGTCGGTAAGAAATTTAAGATAACGTGTCAGCGTATGATATATTACGCACGACAAGGTGTATAGTTAGTACATGGACTAAGAATGCTCGTGTATATTCAATATGTTTTACCGCCGTATATCGACTTACGAGTCATAAATGTGCATGATTTTGACTAAAACTTCATGGCAGTGACAGAATATATAGCTGTTCTACGTGAAAGCAACTACGAAATACTATTAGGCACCATAAACACAATAAGAAATAATCTAAAGCAATTATGAAACTCGCCTGGGTTGCTCTTGCTTCTAAGTAATGGAAATTTGAAGAAGACAGTAGTTCAAATCCGATTTACATACGAGGTGCTGTTGATTGAAATCTTGGATTAACACAGCGTTGTACAATGAATTTGTATGTGTTGTTAGATACGTCCATAACTAACCAACCAAATCGTTGTTTGGGCCCCTAACACGTTGACGTGGTCTGGTGTGTCTGTATACTATCCTTGTTGCATGTGATCTACCAATTGAAAGACATTATTATCCTATTATTTTATGTGACTCATATTTTTTAAAATTTCCATAGGACACGCACTACTGGTCGGTATGTTCGTGAGTTTCACTTAATGACTGTAATTCCCTTAATTACTGTACTAATCTAATGGTTTGTACGTTTAGAAACAGATAAAATTTAAATCCAATTCGCTGTAGGGTCAGTGAAATATCACTGAGCCCTAGCCAAATCATCCGGCAATTTGGTCACTGATCATCGGACAAATCATCGAACCCTGCTAAGGTCAACGACACCCAACGCATATCAGTTAGTCGTACTCTACGGACTGGCTCATGTGGGGGTGGTCTTATTTTTGCTTGTATCTACTTTAACCAATATATTCCTGTAATAACATCCCCTGTGTTGTACGGCCTTCAAATCATCTCTTTTACCTAGATAAGTCAGTGGGTCTGAATATCAGGTGTGAATTTGACATTAGCTGGCTCGTCACAGCATTCCCGTCGAACTCCAGTAGGCCTAAATCATTCAACATAGATCATCCAAGTTGGTGATATACATTGACCTTGCTCTGATTATAACTTTCACATAGACTCTGTGCTCGCCAGTATCGCGTTTACAGTTCTGGTAATATATCTGTAGGACAAATTAAATCCTACAAAGTCTCGACCAGTTTCTCATCAGAAATTTGCACATTGAGTACTGTTAAATGTCTACGGAGAATCATAAGACTGATCAGATTCCTGAATTGTCTCCCTACTATTCGGAAACTATTAGTGATGACCGCTTTAGAAGAATTCGAATCCGAATGGATCCCTTGTTAGAGTTAGAATTGGCTTGAGTACGTTTGGATCAGGTAGAAAGAGAAATTGAGTTAGAACAGTTACGTCAAAAGGGAAGAGAATATTGTAATCAAGCTTTGGCTGACAAGGCTATGTCTTACGAGTCTATATTTGCCTTACATACAGTTGATATTAATCCTGGAAACGACCGGATAACAATGATATCTAAAGCTTTAGACTTGCCAAAGAGAGAGATCATAAGGTTTGATGAAAATAATAAACTTTCTTCCATACAACCTAGTAAGAATAGTGATAAGCATTATCACCTATATGCCTCCAATAAACTGCTCATAGGTGACACTATATTCCAACATAAACGCATTCACAAAACCATATGAACTCAACCGGATCACACTACGCAAAATCAAATCGACCATATCTGCATCAACAAAAAGTTCAGGAGTACGATGGAGGACGTGAGAACCAAAAGAGGAGTTGATATAGCATCAGATCATCACTTGCTGGTCGCCAAGATGAAATTGAAACTCAAGAAGCACTGGACAACGGGGCGGACAATATCGCAAAAGTCTAATACGCCTCTTCTTTGGGATACTGACAAACTCAACAAATTCAAGATATCCCTCAGCAATAAGTTCCAGGACTTTCATGATCTACTCAATGAAGAAGGATCTACTATGGAGAGCAACCAGAAAGAGATAAAAGAGGCAATCACTTCAACATGTCATGAGGTTCTGGGCCAAAAGAAGCACCATCACAAGGATTGGATCATGGTTGATACACTGAATAAGTTTCAAGAAAGGAGGTACAAGAAGACAGCAATCAATACCAGCCGAACAAGAGCAGAAAAAGCCAAGGCACAAGCTGAATACACAGAAGTAAACAAGCAGTTGAAGAGGAGCATCAGAACCGACAAACGTAAATATGTGGAAGACATAGCAGAGGCACTGAAAGCAGACGTAGCGGTAACAGAAAGGATATTCCACATTCCCTTCAGTAAGATTTGGGATGAGGAACAAGTACCAACAGACTGGAAAGAAGGACTGCTGATCAAAATACCAAAGAAAGGCGATCTCAGCAAATGTGATAACTACAGGGGCATCACTCTTCTCTCAATACCAGGAGATGTCTTCAACAGGGCATTGTTAAACAGGATGAAGGACTCCGTAGACGTCCCACTTCCAGATAGATCGTGTACAGACCAATTTGCAACTCTGCGGATCATTGTGGAACAATCAATTGATTGGAATTCATCACTCTACATCAACTTCATTGAATACGAAAAGCATTTGAAAGCATGGACAGAACAACACTATGAAAGCTCCTTCGACACTACGGCGTGCCTGAGAAGATAGTCAATATAATACAGAATTCCTATGATGGATTAAACTGCAAAATTGTGCATCCAGGCAGTTGACAAAGTTGTTCGAAGTAAAGACCGGTGTCAGGCAAGGTTGCTTATTCTCACCCTTACTCTTTCTCCTGGTGGTCGACTGGATTATGAAGACATAAATATCTGAGGGGAAACACGGGATACAGTGGACATCTAGGATGCAGTTGGACGATCTAGACTTCGCAGATGATCTGAATCTCCTATCGCAAACGCAACAACAAATGCAAGAGAAGACCAGTGTAGCAGCAGCCACAGCAGCAGAAGGTTCTAACAAATACAAAGGGAAAAGCAAGATTCTCCGATACAACACAGCATGAACCAATAGAATCACACTTGACGGAAAAGCTTTGGAAGATGTAAAAACCTTTGCATATCTGGGCAGCATCATTGATGAACACGATGGATCTGATGTAGATGTAAAGTCACAGGTCAGCAAAGCAAGAGTAGCATATTTATAACTGAAGAACATCTGGAACTCAGAAGATACAAGTGTTTATCAACAGTTGTCTACGCAAAATACTTCGGATCCATTGGCCAGGAACTATCAAGGCCAAAAAAAAGAGGAAGACCAAAGAACACATTACGCCGAGAAATGCAGACAGACATAAGAAGTATAAAAAACAATTGGATAGAACTGGAAAGGAAGGCCCAGGACAGAGTTGGTTAAAGAATACCGGTCGTAAGTAAGTAAAAACAGTGAATATTTGACGAAATCATCTCGACCGTCAGTCAGTGACAAAATGAGTAGTATATTTGGTCGATTGATCACCTTTTTGAGTGTTTTTGAGCCGAATAGTCAACTGTTTGATCATCCACAAATGAAGATGAATGGTAGAACTCGCATCAACACTATGGTGATTACACTAAGAACTGGAGAGAAAGACTCTGGAGACGATTCATGAAGGGTTGGAAATACCAAAAAGAAGCCGAGTATTGGATGTGCTTAGAAGTTGATGCAAGATCCCAGAAAGTATCCCACAAAATGAAGAACTTTTGAGAGAATTTTGGGATGGATATGGTGTCGATTCAAATGCTGAACTGGTTATTATCCGGTAATTTTTACCTCCTTCCCCTCCCGTTGTTATTTATCATAAACACTCGGACTTTGAATGGTTTGTGACGAATTTTCAGTCATTAAGGATTCAAATTCTCTTAATGTATAGTTTTTGAACAAGCAAGCAATTATATTACCGAGTATAAATAAGTTTTACAAAATTCACCAATCTATTGGGGATTTTCCCTTCTGTAAATTGCAAAAGCGACCTCGTGTTGATTAGTTCATAGGAATATTCTACATCCATCTTCTCGAACCCTTATATAGGCTCATAAATATTCATAGAATTCACTGGGTTGCTCTTGTTTAGGGATGAGGATTCCGCATTTTATTCTTAGGGCAAGGAATCAAGTGTTTGTTTTATGATGTAAAGGTAATGTTCAGTTTTGTCATATGCAATCTAACTAACGAAAATTAAGCAGTCAATACGTTCAAGCTTATTGCTTCTACTCAATCATGGAAAAACATAATTTACGGTTATCGTTTCTTACATAGTGATCAATATATGAAGGTATTTTACAGGTCATTTGACGTGACGTCACGTGGCAGTCTCACGGGCTTATAGTAGACATTCACTATCAACTGTTGTTGAACTTCAAATGAAGTTTAGAAATACATTTATATTTATATGCTTTTCAACGATAGAATTCAACA